TCTGCACGCATTTTGTTTGAGCATTTGGTGAATGCTAGCTTTCGTTCAATTCTGGCTTGGATAATCGAGTCGTCTTGTTGTTGAGTCTGTCTCTTTGTCTGAGTTAGTATTTTTGTCTTAAGGGTCTGTCTTGTGTAGCGAGTCAGTCACCTTTGTATAGAATACCAGTTGATTCCGGGTGTGTTGCCTCGAACACCCGTTTTGTCTTGTTTACCCGTTTTGTTTTTTGAGTCGGTTTGCCGAGGGCAAGTTACAACCAACAAATCTGAATGAAACAACTGTGGTTATCTCATTCTCATGCTTGCTTTCATGTGGTTAGTTAGCAGAGGTTTGAATAAAGCAGGTAAGTAAAAGGGAGAAAGAAGTGGGGGTTGGGAGACATGCACACACTCACCCACACTTATTACAAGTTTACCCTCGCTCGGAGGGATCGAAAGAATAATACAGTTTGAATAATGAATTAACTATCCTAGCTAATTAATTATTACAAATTACCTAATTAGTTAACAAATTAACTAAGCTAGGAAAGAAAAACAGATAAGCCGCCTCAGGAAAAGAGCCCAATGCGATGCATGCTCAGTTCTGCTCGGAAGTACACTGTCATACATGAGCTGCCTCTGTTTTCCCTGTTATACTCCTCTGAAGACTGTCAAAGTCTCAGAATTGCTTCCCTGGACACTGGGAGATACCGCCGGCTGAGTAGAATATCCACCGGCAGTGGTATATGGTCACCGGCTGTTGGTGAAGATATCGGCCTAGGAGGGATTGCTGGTCGGCACTGAACACTACCGGTCGGCAGAGAATGCCTGCAGAACCTGCGATCGACAGCAGCAGAGGACAAGGCAGAGTATGGCAATGCAATTCAAACAATGTATGCACCAATTATGTCCCTTATCATGTTGGTGACTCAAAGGAACATGGTCCTTGGTTCCAAGACCATCAATCGCGCATTTCCATGCGTGATGGCCCAAGGGACCAAGTGTGCACATTTTGATGTTAAGTGCAATGCAAACCAACAAACCAAAGGGGTCCAATCCCTATCACTAAATCAAGGGACAAGATATGCATGTTCAATGCAACCTAGGCATGTTAGCTGGGGATGCAACATGGCAATGCAAACAAGCAAGCAATGAACAAGCATGCAAGCTAGTGGACATGCAAGACATGGTGCAATCAAAGCATGCAAAGTGTAAGACATGTAACAACATGTAAAGATTGGACTTAAACATGATTTGGGCAGCTCTAATTAGGCCCAAAACAGTGGCCATATTGCCCAAAATGAAGGACTAAAACACACACACACACATGCATGCAAAGGATGTCCAATACTTCAAGCATTTAAAAGCAATTCTCAAGCACAATTAAGAGAATGCAAACATGGATAAATGACATGCATTAAGCTCTGAAAATTATGCAAGAATAGGGTGCTAAACCAAGCAAACAAGATAGGCTAAGCATGCAATAAATGGCCCAAGTACTTGAAGCAAGTCAAAGGGACTTGGACCAAGGCTAAGCCAACCAAGCCTCACAAGGCCAAGAGGGCTTAAAACAGGTCCAAGGCAGACCTAGACCATGCAAAGGGGACTCCCTAGATGGCATCTAAGTGGCCCAAATTCAAAGGCATGTACAATGGCTAAAACATGGAGCATATAACACAAGCTCATAAGGCATCAAAGAGACATCCAAGGCAAGCAAAGCATTAAGGAGACATCCAAGGCAAACATATATGCATGCAAAGGGGACTGAAATGACATGGTGGATAGTTTCAAACCACTAAATCAATGCAAGAATGTCATGCTATACGTTCATACACTTAAGGCCAACAAGCCGGAATGCAAAGGAGCTATACTAAGCATGCCAAATCCGACCCAAACAACCTAGGACAGACCTTAAACATGGCAAAATGAGCACAAAACCTTCACAAGGCTAAGCCTAAAACATGCTAGAACAAAGGCTAACAACCTAAGGCATATTAAGGCAATAACATCGCATTACATGGTAGGTATGCTAAGCATGCATGGTGTACCAAAACCAACACACAACCCAACAAAAAATAGAGGCATATTATGACATAATAGGCACAAAAAAACAGCCAAAGCATGGTCAACATGAAGCTTAGCTAAGTGCTCCCTCAAGAGGCCAAAAATGGTCCTTTTCAAGGACAACAAGGAGAGGGGGCGGTCCTCTCCTTATTGGGACCTCAATGCACCATCCTCACCTCTGAAATCCCTCAAGATTTCAGTGGTGAGGAGGCCCAAACACCAAGGTCCCAGAGCTTACACAAAATAGCACAAAATGGAGCCTTACAAGGCTTAGGAGGGGTCAAACAACCTCAAACAACAAAACACCCTAAATAAACTATTTAGAGGGCCTAAAAATAGAACTTTTTTATGTTATACACTAAGCACAAAAATAGTTCTAAGATAGGCAAAACAAGTATGCAAGAATGGGGAATAAAGGGACTAGTTTCTTACCCTTGAAGACCCCTTCAATAATGGTGGACCAGCAGCTTCTTTTAGGTTGAAACCAGCTTCAAAACCTCAAAAACAACCCTCAAGAGGTCTCAGCTCCAAGGGATGGTGTAATGGTGGGTGCTTGTGAGCAAAAATAAGACAAAACACACACACTAAGCTCAAGAAAGAGAGAGAGAGATATAGGATAGATACAAATTCCTAACCCTAATATCAAAACCCTCTAAAATGTTGTCTAACCCTAATGCCAAGAGAGGAGACTCTCTCTTATAGAGCTCTCTCTTGTAAAGCTTGTCAAATAAGCTTGCCTAGAGGGAAATCCCTCCATACACGTGTATGGAGGGGAACAGAGTTGGTGCCAGCTATCACAGCTGGCACAAAATATCTACCAAAAGTAGATGAACAGTAGTCGGCTCCTCAAAATTTCCATTTTGACAAAAATGAGTGCCGACCGGCAACAAATAGTGCCGACCGGCAATATAGATTGCCGATGGAAACAAAACACCAGCCGGTGGCTTTTAGCCATGGCCGGTGATGCGTGGGGATGCCTCACAAGGCATTCCCTGCCCCTCCAAGGCAAAACACAAGTGTTTGGTGCAAAACCAGACACTAAGCAGTCGAGTTCGGAGATCCTGAGGCAAGGCGCGTAGCCGAGACCTCCGGGAACTCCAAACGAACACAAACATGGATGATCACCGAGTGTTCAAACGGTGACGTCCAAGTCTTGAGGACGGTCAAAAATGGGGTGTCTACACATGCGTGGTGTGTCTAAACCAACTTAAAATAGTGCTATATCATGGAAAAATAAGCACAAATACTACCTAAGACATGGCCAACATGAACTTAAGAGAGGTGCTCACACATGAGGCTAAAATGACAAGTTTTGAAGGTAACAAGGAGAGGGGATGGCCTTCTCTTCCTAGGACCTCAAAGCACCATCCTCACCACTGAAATCCCTCTGGATTTCAATGGTGAGGAGGCCAAAACAAGGTGGTCCCAGAGCTCACCAAAAATGCACAAAAATGCACAAAAATGAGGCCAAACAAGGCCTAAGTGGGGTCAAACACCCCCAAACACCGAAACAGCCTTAAACAACTATTTTAAGTACTCAAAATCAGAACTTTTATTAGTTATACACAAAGCTTAAAAACAGATGCAAGGATGGCTAAAAGCCTAAGAAAAAATGGGAAATAAAGGGGTAAAGTTCTTACCCTTGAAGACCTCTTTAAGAACAATGCTCCAGCTGGTCTCTCCAAGCTTAGATCAACTCAAGAACTCTGAAAATAACTCCTTAGCACCTCAGTAGCCAAAGGAAAGTGTAATACTAGGTGTTTGTATGCAAAACTATGAACAAAACACTTTAATACACACACAATATAGAAGAGAGGGAGATATAGAGATAGAATAGATACACAATTCTCTAACCCTAATCTCAGTGCTCTAGAATTTTTTGAAACCCTTGAGGAGGGAGGAGAAGCCCTTCCTTTATAGAGATTCACTCTTGCAAAGCTTACAAAACAAGCTAAGCAAGAGGGAAATCCCTCCATACACGTGTATGGAGGGGGTGCATTGTGGATGCCAGCTATCACAGCTGGCATAAAATATCTGCCAAAAGTAGATGAATAGTGATCGGCCAGCCAGAAATGACAAATTGACCAAAACAATGGTCGGCCGACCATAAAGAGTGTTGACCAGCCATAACCAATGGCCGGTAGCAACAAAACAGGGCCGGTGGCCTCAAGCCATGGTTGGTGAGGTGTGGGGATGGCCAACAAGCCATTTTCCACCCTCATAAGCAAAACAACAAGTGTTTGGTGCAAAACTAAACACAAAACAGGCAAGTTGAGAGGTCTTGAGGCAAGGCGCGTGGCTGAGACCTCCGAGAACTCAGGACGAACACAAACATGGATGATCACCGAGTGTTCAAAAGGTGACGTCCAAGTCTTGAGGACAGTCAAAAATGGGGTGTCTACACCTACCCTATCATAGGGGTGTTGTGGCTCTTACTTGCTTGCTGTGTGTTGTTAGGGTGTGTCTCTACAGGATGGTATGTATCAGTTGCAAGTTTGAGTATCGGCCTGAGGGTATCAATGTACAGGCAGAATTTTGGGTAGAATTCAACAAAGAGTGCAGTCATTCAGCTGTGCTCGTATCTGTTCTAGTGAAACTAGGCTGAGATGTTGTCTGTTTTCTTCTTTTGCAAGGTAGTCCTGGAAACATAGCTTCAGAAGGCTCCGATATCCCCCGGCTGCATTGGACTTGTGTTGATAGACTTTGTCAGGTCAAAGATTCAGTTCAAGGGCAACCAGTGTTTCCTTCGCCGAGGCAAGGCAAAGAAAGGCCAGTCAGGGCTCACCGATTCAACTGATCCGGCAGTCACCAGTCACATCACCTCTGTTCAGAGCACGAGCATCTACCTCTATCATGGCGCAGCCTCCGATAAATCTAGAGGATTTGCTTATCCGTTTCCAGTAATCAGTGGATTCGCTGCAACAAGATATGGTTAGGCAAGCCAAAACATTTCAGAATATGATATTCAACTTTAAGGACCTCCATGACATTGAGGTTCAAATCAAGGAGGCCATCCGACAAGGGATCTTTATGGAAGATAATGAGCCTTCAAAGAAGGATGTTGTTCACAGTTCCAATACTACTACTGATGGTAGCGCAGCTGTGAAATGCTCAGAAGTAGATACTATCATTACTTTCCTCAATAGCCAAAGACCAACCACTTCAACTTGGCACCAAGCCCGAAATTTCCATCCTCTGTACATGAGTCTTTCTCAAGCTTTGAAAATGCTATGGGAAAAAGGGTACCTAGAGCTCCTAGAACCTCAACCCCTTCCAACCCCTCTTCCACCAAGATATGACCCAGCTAACACTATATCTACCATCAACAACACGGTCATGATACGAACCGTTGTATCCGCCTCCATCATAAGATTCAGGATCTTATTGATAAAGAGACCATAACTCCACCAAAAGGACCTCGGGCTAGTACTGACCCATCACCTTTCCACCTCAATGAAATCCATATACTGCCATCCACCTATGACCCCAGCATATACATCACCCCGGCTCATTTACCTAAGCCTAAGGTGTTCATTCCAATCAGCATGGACTTATGCATGATGGATGCATCTGAACCCCAATCATCTCAAACCCATGAAACTACTACTTCTGACCTGTTGAGGATGATTGAGGATCTTCAGAGAACAGAGGCAGATTTAGCCTTTGGAGTTTTGGCTCAACATCAACCACATCACTTACCAGGGAGTTCATGTCCAAAGGCTCCCCAATCTTGGGATGGGCTGCATTGGAAGAAGGCAAATATCTTAGCGTAGTGGAGGCCAGCGGTAAGAACAAGGTAGGGGCAGGCATTGATCCCCATGAACACCATTTGTGGGCTGTGGAGGCTTTGAAAGCAGAAGGGCTGAACAAACAGCAAGTTCTCGCAGTTGTTGCAAAGACTGTGGATAACACTTTCGCCACTCAAGTTGGGGACAGTTTGAATCAAGGGGCAAGCCAGGAGAAGGGTCGTTGTACCAGAAACGTTCCTTTAAGCTCTAATCCTGCACTCAAAAGAGATCAGCAAACCTAGTTGGCGCCTATCAATCTCTTTGCTGGGGCATCCGGTAAAAAATCACAAACCTTGAAGTACCCACCCCGAGGCCAGAGGGTCTTCCATGCCCTCTATAAGCCTTTGTCCAAGGATTTTCAAATCCTTGTTGAACAAGGCCATCTCAAACCCCTTCAGCCTCGGCCTCTTCCTAGTCGTCTTTTAGCCAGTCATGATGCTGCCCAGTACTGTGCCTACCATCAACAAATCGGTCATGGCACTGACCTTTGTTTTCATCTTCGTCACGAAATACAAGATCTGATTGATAACATGGTCATCGTCCCGCCGGGTCCTGCAAAGTCTATCGGCATTAGATCAGTGAACTTGGGGGATAATACGAGTATGTGATCAGGGGATGAACCAACTGTGGGCGGCGCTCAGTTTACTCCAGATGTGGCGTGTGGCACACATTGTTTTGAGCATTTGCGGATACTATTTACTTTACTTTCTGACTTGGGTATTGAGTCAGTTTTTTTGTGTTGTATTGAGTCAGTCTTTTTGTATTGAGTCAGTTGGGTCTGTCTTGTTGTATTGAGTCAGTCATGTTTTGTTAGAGTTGGGTGATTTCGGGGGTGTTACCTCGGACATCACTTTCTTGTTTTGTGTTTGTCTTTTTCTCTTTCTTTTGAGTCTGTTTCTGTCGTGGAGCCAATTGCACTAGAAGATCTGAATGAAACAATAGTGATTTTCACACTTTTGTGTTTGTTTCTGCCTTGAGCCAGTTGTACTAGCAAATTTTTGATGAAACGGCAGTGCTTTTCACTTACTTTTCTGTGCCTTTTAAATTATTGCATTGACCTAAGTTTTTCAAAACTTTTTGAACATTGTGACGAAAACAAAAAGGAAGGAATTCCTCGGGTTTTGCAAAATTTGATCAAGTGAGAAGAAGAGCGGCATGCTAAGCCCTTAATGAATGAGATCATGTTTGTTAATGTGAGTACTGAGAAGGATCCTGGCTTGATCCAGATTGGTTCTACATTGTCTTTAGCGCGAGCGACTAGTCGCTTTCTTAAAAGATTTCAAAAAATGTTTTGCGTAGTCCTGCGAAGACCTGTGTGAAATCGCTCTTGAGATTGTGCAGCCTACGATCGCTCTCAGCCTCGAGAATCGACCCCTTGCTTTCAAACCTTGAACTTGGATTTAGAATGTTCAATAGTCAACCACAATGTGAGGCTTGTATGGCCAGATTAGAAGCAGCCCATGAACTAGGGGCAAGAAGGTCAGATATGATCAAAAGAAAGCTTGCAAAGTTGGATGATAAGTAGCCCTTGGACTAGGGACAAAAAATGTCAGATGTGCCCGAAGAGCCAAAGAATGATCATTCTGCAAACCAATGAAAACTGGCAAGAATGCCAAATCCCAGAAAGGAGGAAAGAAGAAAGTATTGCTGAAGGACAACTGAGTTCCTATCCACAACACTAGGAGAAAATTCAACCCCCATTGGATGGACTTTTACATCATCAGCAAACAACAGCCATTCTCCTGGATTCAGATGGCTTCGAGATCCCAAAACCATTTGACATGGACAAAGCTACACTTTTACCCTTGAGAGGCTCGTTGGGCCGAAAACCCGGAAGGGCAACCCAGGCAAAAGTTAGAGCAAGAAAAAAGAAAAGAACAAAAAAAAAAAGAAAGAAAAAAATGCAAAGAATGAGAAAAGAAAAGAAAAAAAAAGAAATGAGGAAAAAGAAATGAAAAATTTCGAAAAGAAATGAAAAGAAAAGAAAAACAAAGCTCGCAAGGTTGAAAACCCGGAAGGGCGACCTTGGCAAAAGTTAGAGCGTAAAAGGAGAGGTTAATACACGAGTGTACCTTAACCCGGAACTACGTCAGGCTTGATTCCCATGTTTGGGATACATAGGCAACTTCATTCTGAAGTCCAGCCATAAACACTTCTAAATCGACTGTGTCCATGTAATAGTTCTGATCATCTTTGGCTTCTCTGTATCCGAGAGTTTGGCTGTGATTGTTACTATGAGGACTGGTTACAGTATGCTGCGGCGCTATTCAGAGAAGGGGCAACTTTTCATTGCCAGATTTGGTGCCATGCAGTGCCATTCAGGCAAGAGATAATTTTCCATTGTTTTAGATCTCAGGTTGTGCATCTCAAGAGTAAATTCTACGTTGGTCGAGCAGTGGCCATTTGTAAAAATAGTTTTGAGAATTTTTAATGAGGTTGACTAATTTTCTCAAAAATTATTCCATTTTTCCAAAACTGGGCCATTTCTTGAACCTAAGAAAAGAAAATTTTCAGTGCTCATAGCCTGACTTGCATGGTTTCAAATCAAAAAGTTGAACAAGTATGCTAATCTTACTCTCATATTGGTCAAAATTGTTTTAGTAGAAAGCCAAAACAAAAAATGGTCAAAATGATGAACTAGGGGCACAATTGAGTCAGGTTTTTTGTCTTTTCCCCATTGTCAACATACTTGCCAGAAAGGGCACTCTACCTGCCAGAAAAGGGCACAACTGAAGCTAACAGCAATGGTCCGAAAGCTCTCTCATCCTCCGAGCAGTGAGGTATCAAGTCAAGTGCGAAGCATAAACTGGAAAGGGAGCAGGATATTCCACTCCCTTATCTGAAAAGGTCTGGTCACGTCCGAACTGGCCAAGGGCGTCATCGACTGATGTCAGTTGTAGATTTGCTACACACCCAGTTGTAGCGCAACCACTTTGTGGGAAAGTTCACTGTTGTGAGCAGAAGAAGAAGAATCTAGTTAAATACTAGGGACAAGAGCCCACAACTTCCTGTTTATCTATCAACCACCCAGGGGAGGGATAAAAAAGAAGAGAGATTGAAGAATAGAGAGATATGCGCTGAGAGAAAAAGTGAGAAAATGGTTTTTTTTTTTTTAGAAAACAAGAGATTGAGTGCCAGAGTGATGTGAGAATCACAAAATGAGAAAAGGTGGGAAACAATACCCGAAACAAACTGGCTCCTCGCAAACTGAGAGGTCTCTCGTCTTTGTAACACATCTGAGTGTTGTGTGTGTGTTTTTGTTCATCTCGGTTCTTGTTTTGAGTCGTTTCGAGTGTTTCTCGATGTGTTTAGGTTGTTTACCTTTTGTTTTCCTTTGTTGAGTCATTTTTGCTATGATCAGTCGTAGACTCAATACCCGGTTAAAGAACTCATTTCTCAACTTTAAATTTCAAAAGGAATCGTTTTTTGCTCGAAGTGCTGTGTCATTCTCCACATTTGTGCAAAACAGGACTTGTTCTTTCATAAAACTGCAGGGTTCAACCCAAATCATATGAGAACAGTAAAACCAGGACCAATCTGAAGTTATATAGGTTCCAGACTGTAAAGCAAAAGAAAAGAGGGAAAATTTGGAGCATCTGAGTTTGTTTCACCTTCAGAAAGTCCTGAGATTGCATTTCGGGTGTACCTCTTCAGGCCTGGTCAATGCTCCGAAGTATGAGTGTGCCTCTACCTCAAGCTCAAGATCAAGTTTGCTTCAAGCCAAAATGGCGATCAAAAGTGCTCTCCCTAAGTACCTTTCCCTGCCAGAGGCATCCTGGTTGTGTTCACAATGAGTTCCTAGGAGACCAACTGCGACAGTGGAAACTAGAGTTCGAATGGCTGATGCCTAGAACGCAAAGGTTTGAGATTTCTGAGACTAAAGTCTGGTTTGAATACCCAGGGGTGTATCCCCGGCTTGAAATCTATATGGAAGCCCCATACATTGAGTTAGCATGTGTATGCGCCTCAATTCTGGATACAGAACCAACCTAGTCTGTTACCCCGTTGGAGAATAGGGAAAGTTGTGAATGTGATCAGGAAGGAAAACGACATCCGTGGCTTCTACATGGAGAGGTTACTCCTTGTCAGTATTTCTGGACCTTTGTACTGAGAGTTGAAGGTAAGTGTTCGAGAAACACAAAGGGAGATCCCCATCAGAGTAGAGCGGTTTGTAGCCACTCACCTCAGGAGGTGCTTTCTAAAGCGCCACTTTGTTGGTTTATTGCATTCACTAAACATCATGCTCTACATTGCTTATAACACGTATCATATCATCACACATATTGCATAAATGCATCTTCTA